CTTCCTGCCTGTTCGTCTGATCCTCTGGCAGACCTCCATCACACCCACCGCTTTCCATCTCTTCATAGTCATAAATAAAGTAATACAACATAGACATATATAAGTATATATAATAAATTAGCAGGATATGACAGAGTAATTTTATTTTAATTTGTCACCTGTTTCCGTTGTATCTTGTTCCTGAGTTGCAGAGAGCTGTTATGAAGCAGTATTTCCCCAAATGTATTAACAGTAATCGTTCAATTAGCAATACTACATCCAAAATTCGTCAGCTCAAGTAATGATTCATTTTATTCTGGTTAAATAATTGTTTTATGTTATTTCTGTGTTGTGACCATTTAGCAGCGCGAGACCTGCAGTGTTTACTTTGCTTCTCCGTTGCTAGGAGACGCCACACTTCCGGATTCGCTCCTCCTCCTCATAGATATCCATAACAAAGAACGTATATTGACAAGAAGTGAAAGCCAATAGAACGTTCCATTGCAACACCAGCGCCCAGCAGCAGCCCTACGCTGCAGCTGGATGCTATTGACTCGGTCGGCAGTCATATATTATACTTATATTTAGTCCAGTGCAGAGGTCATTTTTAGGTTGAAATAATTAGGTGATAGCAGCGTTATAGCAGTTAAAAAGAAGTTGCTACTTAACCAGGCTTTTTCCCCCACACAACTTGAGACAGGAAAGTTCAAGGATTTAATTAATTAACGTTATATTACTCTCCATATTAAGTGTGACAGGTAAGAATAAAGTTATAATAACATTAGACCGTTTCCCAGAAGGTACACATAACGTTACATACAAAAATAAGTTATCAATGAAATAAATGAATTCAGCAAATAAATTGTACTAAAATGTAAATGTTGGACAATAAATATATAACAGCAATAGAATAGCTTTACAGTAAACTGTTTTTTGCAGTACTATCTTATATTAATGACCGTTAAAGCAAGACTATGTAAACAAAAAAACACAGCCACTGTCCAAAGTGGCAATTAAAGTTATAGGATAACGGACACAGCAATGCAGCAGCATCATATTCTATAAGATCATCATGTTTGTAGCATGATCCAGGGGATTAAAACGTACAAAATATATTTCAGGCCTAGTGGAGTTGGTAACTAATAATAGTAGTAAATGTGTAAAGTTGCATAAAATGGAAATACTCACTAATGCAAGAAAAAACTACCTCAAAAAACTGTTAACTGTGCTGTTGTCTAGTAACTCCAGTTGGAATTTTCACCCCAAAATGGCGGCCGCGCTACCGAAGCGCCACCTAGTGGCTGTTACCAAAAAACATCAGAGTTTCGCCTCTTGTTCTTCTATAATCTATACTCTTTGTCCATAATAAAGGCTAGATGTCGCACCTGGCGGCCATCTTGTCACAGGCAGCTCGCTCACTCGTAACATTGTGTTTTAATGGTGCATGTACTTTTTAAATAACCATAACTTGCTCAATTTTCTACCGATTTTCAAACGGTTTGGTTTGTTATAAACGTCAGAGATGTAGTTATGACACTGCATACTTATGAATAATAAGTGTATCAATAAATAATCATCCTGAATTATAGCCACGTTAATAACGTTTGTAAGAAACCAAACCGTTTGTAAATCCGTCACGATTTCAACGAGATAAGAGTATTTGTGTTCGAGCTGATCACTCATCTTACATCAGGCACCACAGAGCCCGCCAGAACGCTTGCCTGTGACAAGATGGCCGCCGGTGATGACGATAGAGACTCCGCCGTGAGACCGAGACATGCCTTATGCGCATGACGTCACCGTCGGCCGGAGTGAATGCGGTCACGCCCACAAGTGGCAAAAAGACTGAGCGGCAGCATTTGTTTTCAGCGTGAATGCCGTGAAAATCACACAAAACACATCTAAAACGGGAAAGAGCTTTGCGATTGACTGTACAACTAGATTTGACCAGAAATCTGAGGTACTGTATATTTTTACAGACTGCAAAAAGCTACAGAACAGACTATATTCTGCATAATTGGATGTTTTTAAATAAACACTGACAAAAAACTATACAAGTTTTAGGGCTGGACGATATGATGATTATACAGTATAACATTAATGTAAGTGATCACTCGGATTTAGACCTATCTATATTGTATTTATATAAAACGTTTACAGGCAAATTTTCTTCATTTATTTCCCCGGCGTCGAAATCAGGCACATATAAATGTCAGGAAACACGATTCCTGGCTGCATGTCAATATCCATGGATCACTGGATCTTTGATAAGTTGTAAGGAACACTATATCGAGTCCAACTTTTAGTTTAAACTGATAATAGTTTGTTTTACTCGCGTTAACGCAGTTTCCCCTATTAACTCCAGTCACGCAGCAGCTCTTCTGCCACTCAGTCCCGCTGAGGGGGGCATGTTCCGGCAAAAAAAAAAAAAAAAAAAAAAAAAAAAAAGCGGCAACATTCTAATCTGAAAAATTAAGCCTACCCGGAAGTGCGAAAAACTGCAATGCATCGAAAATCCGCTAGAGGGAGGTCCCAAAAGGGAGCAAATCTCCATAGACCCGCATGTTAAAATGTCAGTTTTCACAGCATAAATTCATGTTTTTACAGGTTGGTCCCATGGACTTTTATTGTATTTTTCGATAGGTTCCGAGTGCCTGACAACTGTGAGGGGGTGTGAATTTTTTTCTAACTCGGTAGTTTAGATCGTATTTAGATATAAAATGTATGACAAATAAGCGCGTGATTGACAGCTGATAACGGGCTGCGCCGAGTGGAATTCCTGAAATTTGACGTCTCGGCCATGATCTGACACAACACATCATACCACCTCTGTATCCTTTCTGAACATTTGTATTTGAAATATCGTAAGATTTTCCAAGATGGCACCGCCCATACCCCCCATAAACAGCCTCAAACCCGTTCTTCAGAAAGTCTATGGGTGACGTCACAGACGCTTTGTCCATATTTTTTACAGTCTATAGGTGTGTTCGACATCGGCTGCGGCTGGATGTAAGCGATCGGCGAGAGTAGCCGCGTGCAGACGGGGAGGAGCTGCAAACGGAGACGTGAAGTCGGACACTTTCTGGTTCCCGTAGTGACCGCTCACGTGGTGTTTGTATACTTTACCACAGCTGAAGTCAAATAAATTCAATATTTGCCAAATGCACAGATGTTTCAGACACATTTTCATTCAATACTTTATGTACTGCTTTATACTGCATCTGTTTGAACAAGAATAAAGTTCAAAATAGCCACTATCAATGAAGTGCAGTCGACGTTTTTTAATCACTTTTATTTTGATAAACATAACACAATAGATAGCCTAACATCACGACTACATGAAAAGAGTGTTTACTGTTATAAAAAACTGATTTGTGAGCTTTAGTGGAACTAAAGGTGTGAGAATAAACACGAAACGCACGTGATCGTTGTCATGCGGTGAATCCGGCCAATCGTGGAACAGCTGTGTCGTCATCAGAGCTCGTGCAGCCCCGAGCAGCCGCTCTTCAGAAGCTGCGCTGGCTGAGTTCTCCGGCTGCTCTCGAATCGCTTTCGCGGTATTTTGATGGCATACGTCACAGTCACGTGGCGTCGGCGCTGTATCAAGTCGGACAACATTTCTAACCGGCATGCACTGCTTCAAGTCAGCCGCCGATCGGTCTGCGCAGAGCTGCATGAAGTCGAACAAGCCTTATGTTATGGATATCTATGCTCCTCCTAAGCAAAGGAGCAAAGGACGTATATTGCCAAGAAGCAACACCATCAGCGCCCAGCAGCAGCGCTACCCGCTACGCTTCCGCCATTTTGGGGTGAAAGCGAATCGGCAGTCCATATATTTAGTCCAGTGCAGAGGTCATTTTTAGGTTGAAATAATTAGGTGATTTTTTTAACACACAACAGTTAACGTTATAGCAGTTAAAATAAGTGCTACTTAACCAGGCTTTTCCCCCCACATAACTTGAGACAGGGAAGTTCAAGGATTTAATTAATTATATTACTCTCTACATTAAGTGTGACAGGTAAGAATAAAGTGATGAGGAGGTACACATAACGTTACATACAAAAATAAGTTATCAATGAAATAAATGAATTCAGCAAATAAATGTAATAAGCTCATTTTCACTTTGTGGAACTTGGACTTTGTTCATATCCATATAAATCATTATTATGGTTTCTATGGCTAGGACCAGCAGTTCCTATAAGGAATTAAGTTTACTAACGTTACTAGACTAAAAAACAGTTAAAGTTAGCAGGTGCATATGCTACTATAGTATAGGCCAAATTTACCTGTCTTTGGGAAAACGATGAAAGGCAAGATTTGTACAGTTTTGCAGTTTATTGCTGAACACTGTGTTCTTTTATTCCACTTTGGACTTCGTTGTCAATCTGTTTGTTTCTGTGTAACTGTTACGGGGCATATTAACTGTTATCTGTGCTGTTTAGGGTTGCCAACTGTCCCGAATTAGCCGGGACGTCCCGATTTTTGGGCCTAATTTATTTGTCCCGATCGGGACCTCTCTTGTCCCGATTATTGAGTGCTACGCTGATCTGACTGATACAACAGCAACACGACACGTAAATTAGTTCAAATCTCCTAGAATCTAGAGCTGCGCATGCGAGACAGAACATAGCCTACTGTATGTGCGTCAGCGCCAAACCGTGTAGCGCGGAGAGCCCCCCCCTAGTGGCTCTTAGCAAAAAAGCATCAGAGTTTCGCCTCTTTGTCCCTGTCCTAGGAAGACAAATTGAGCTATAGAAACATATTTATCTGTGTAAAAAAAACTCAAACAACAAGATATAAAACTTATCAGAGTTCTTAAAAGTATTTGTTTATTTTCATTATTAACTTGTTTGTTTACTTTCTTTAAAGATCAAAGAAGCTTGGCTATAAAATCTCCCACACAGTAGGTGGCGGTGTCTTGCTTTCAGCTGGCTTGAGAGAGCGCGAAGAAAGCTGAGCTCAAGCTGCATTGCGCGCGCATCATCATCATCATCATAAGAGGAGATTAGATGATATCTATGGATGATATTGATGTGATAACATCGACGTAGAGAGATTGATCAATGTTTATACATTTGTGGGTCAGTATTATTAAAACATTTTTTATCATTTACTCTCGATCATGCACGGAAACGCCACATGTTTAGAATCGTAATACGTTCGTGTTATTATCAGGCTAGTGTTTCACTCATAGCTGAGCTGACATATGTCAGCAAAACGAAAAACTACTAAAACGAATAATATCATACAGTACAATGTTTTGACATATTATTGTGATGAGAAGCATTTTTATGACATATTCCGTGGTATTTTTTAATTATTTACCATGTAAATATCTGGGTACATAAACATGCTATTCATCCAGTACCATGGTATATATCCTAAGAGGACGTGAAATTATTATTTGTGAGTGCAGTCTCCACAAAATGTTTTTACAAATAATTTAGCAGTACTCACAAAGGACTGGAAAAGTCCAGGGGCCAGTTGCATAAACCGCTAAGATTAGTCTTACAAGTTGAAAGACATCACATTTTATGACATCAGACTATTCATAGCTCTCTTCTTTTTTTTTTTTAGTTACTTAAAAACGTAGATTAGCCTAATTTGGTACCGAAAAGAAAGACTGACTGCCCCTGACTAACTATGACTAACTAACTAATGTGGGTCATACTAGAAATTAAGAAACTACTAGAACATACTACACTGTCTTAACACAATGGCTATGTTTAGGCAACCGGCCCCAGGAAAGTCATTGGTAAAAAGGTGTGGGAATCCTGCAGGCTTAAATCAGTGTCATGGTACCATCTTATTCCATCATTTTACCATAATACTGCCACGGTGCCTTTTGCATTGGAGTGATTCTTGTTTTTGAAATAATTGCAAAAAACAAAACTGTTCTGTGTTTTTGTGAATTCCAGAAGTGATGAAGGTTAAAATAAAGCAGTGGAATGGTGTGGCGTCCTGGTTGTGGGTGGCCAATGATGAGAACTGTGGCATCTGTCGAGCCCCTTTCAATGGATGCTGCCCAGACTGTGGGTAACCTGATTTCACTGTATCATGGACAAAGACTACACTTCCACCTGTGCCTTTGCAGTTTTTTCATGAAATCTTCTGTTTTAATCCTAATGAAATCCTACTGTTTTAGTTCCAACACATACTTATTTGTGCAACTTGTTTTGTGTAATTGAACCATAAATATTCAGTGTAAGAAAATTAAATGTACTCTCTGGTTTTATCAGGTAAGGTCCCAGGTGATGACTGCCCGTTGGTTTGGGGTCAGTGCTCTCACTGTTTCCACATGCACTGCATCCTGAAGTGGCTAAATTCTCAACAAGTACAGCAGCAGTGCCCAATGTGCCGTCAGGAATGGAAGTTTAAAGAGTGAGCTCGCCTGTCAAGCAACAGCACGACACTTGGATTTTCAGTGTGAATTCTGTATACGTTCTTAAAAGTGATCTTTGGATGACTTCTATCACAGTAATAATGTTCTTTTTTTTATTCAGGGGAGACACTTCCTGAGGAGATCAAATAAATGCACCACAGATTGTTTCTTTTGTTTGTTTATTATAATGTTGGTTTTCTTTGTGATTAAATATCCCACAAAATGACTTTCATATTTAAAAATGGTTGGTATGGTTTTGTACAAACCGCTGACTGCGATTTGCAGTCAAAGAGACAGTCATTTTAAATTACGAAAACAGTACAGAATGTCACAGGACACTGACAATGGTATGCATTTGCGCATATCTTAAATAACTGACATGAAACTCCCACCATTTAAAATTGATACCATTCTCTTACCTTCATTAGTTATTTTGAGAAAGTAAGTTGTTACTCATTCTTATCTAACATTTTTGTAATTTGTAACATGTAGCTTGCATATATGTCTAGATGTATTGAGATTTTATCTGCCTTGATTGTCTGCAAGTCATATGGTAATTCTTGATTATAATCATTCTTGTAAAATAATTCATAACAGGCACCACTCTGAACCTCATTACTGAATGTATACTAAATAATTGACTCTAATAACAAATAGCAAGCTGCCAACATACAACTTGTACAACTGAGACAAAGGTATTGAAATAAACTAATGCAGAAATATTGAAGGATGTGAGGAACTGAAATAAGAAAGCATTATATAACATTAAGCCATTGAAATATGACTTTCAAAAGAGTGGCACTGGCACATCCCTGTTGTTGAGCCATCCTGGCTAATTTGACCAAGTTACAACTTCCAAGTAAAAACAATGTAATTATTCAGAGTAAACATGCATTAGTCTAGTCCAAATCTTTGTGCTGTATTCTTCTTACAGACATCTGTAACCAAGAAGGTATTCAGAGTGTTTTAATATTTGTGAAACTTTGTTTACATTAGTAAAACTGAAAGTAATCATGCAAATTTGTGGAAAGTGAATATGAATAGGAACCAAACAAAAAGGATTTAAAAGATGGAATTCAAATAGAGAGAAATTACCGTATTTCAGTGCATTTTCAGAAACAATATATACATTCTTGGGAGAAAAAGGGCTACATGAAAATAATATTTATCATGCCAGAGGAGTAAAATAAGGTTGGAAATAATTTGAACCACTGACTCAAATTGCCCTACAACCACCATTTCTTATAAAAACTACTTAATTGAGTAATTTAGGTATTTTCTGGCCTGGATTCACAGACAGGGCTTAGATTAAGACAGGATTAGGCCTTAGTTCAATTAGGACTATAAAGTAGCTTTTATAAACATGCCTTTGAGAAAGAAAAAAAAAACATTACTGGTGTGCATCTTGACAAAGCAGTGGCACTAACAGATTTGAAGGGATGCCAGTGCAAGTTGCTTTCGGTTAACAGCTCAAACATGTATTTTAGTCTGGGACTAGGCTTAATTGTCTATGAAACCAGGGGTCTATGTTTTCATTTTACAAACCTGGCTAATGCAAATTGTAAGCCTGGACAAATGAAAACATTTTAATTGTGTTTTAAAACCATTCATTAAAATATAAAGCACACTGGCCACTTCCTAAATTTAGTAAAAAAAAAAAAAAAAAATTTGTGCAGTTCTTTAGATAACGGGTTCAGTTTGCCTATGAGCACATGATCCAATCACATGTTTCCTTGCAACATCTGAATAAAAATAATGTGGCCGTGGAATAATTGTAATGAAAAATGGCAATATAATTTTTTTGTGTGTACGTTTTTTGAATCATTTTGTTGGTTTGTATGGGTGATAATCATAGATCAAAAAGACATGCTTTTTGCCCTATATGCCTCTTTACATGAGCATTAGCTGCAGAGATTATTCATTTTTGTAGGCCAAACATTTTAGCACTTCCTGAATTTAGCATCATCCTGAAGTCAAAAGGTTACGTTTTTGGTTAAATGCCTGAAGTAAGGTAACACAAGCTCAAGATGTGTCCATGTTTTATTTCACAACATAAAATACATCAGTTATACTCCTTTGTGTTTTTTAAAATCTAATACTTGCCTTGAAAAAGGCAGGTGCTAACATGTGGTTAAATGGGATTACAGAGTCTGTTGGGGCCATTAAACGTCATCACACAGGTAAGGTAATTACTCGATTTTTTTCTTTTACAGCCTAAATGGGTGTATAATCTCACTCTTGAAAACTATTATAACTCAAGCTTTAAAGGAAATAAAAAAATTACATAAAAATGGTTGGAAACTTAATGGTGGTGACAGTGAAGTCATGAGATTGTAGTGTAGTTCGTTTATAGCCTACATTTAGCTTTTTACTTCTGCCAATAGTATTAAGGCTTCAAAATTCATAAAGGCTGGGTTAATTTGTGAAGATTATCACGTTGAACAAAACATAAGAATGTAAGAATCATAACCTTTTGTTGGTCACAGCTTATTTTCTGCAACAATCCAAAAGCCAATGGAAAAATCCTAATGGGTTTTTGTCTAGGGAACTAGGGTGATGCTAACTTCTGGTTTGGCCTACAAAAATATACATTCTTGGAAGAAAAAAAGTGCTACACGAAAATAATATCTGCAGAACTATAAAAAGCAATTAGATTATAGAAACATTATTTCAGGGAGAATCTTTTGTTCTTATACATTGGACGAAATAGGCATCAATGAACAAGGCTTATCACTTGAATGGATATGGATCAGGGATCAGCAGATAAATGGTCTGAATAAAATCAGTGCATCAGACAAGACGTTTATGCTGTATCAGTCTGTACGCTGGATAGATTTAAAAATTCATAAAGACTTCTTGGAATCTTGTGTGTTTCTCCTTTTCACATCATTCAAGTCGACTGGTGTAAAAGCTGAAGAGTAGAAACAAACAGTTAGAGAGCATGCATGCATAATATTTCAGTTGAGTCTTTAAAGGCACACTGTGGAATTTTTGGCCACTAGGGTGCGCTCGACCTGTAATTTTCACGTCTAGTGCCCCTAGAGGGCACAAGCGCCGCAGCATTGTCGCAAAAGTCAACAAACAGTCAACCGGTCAACCTCCCGTGTCTTTATGTGTGTGCAGACGGCATTTGATTTGTATGTTGGAGAAAGTTAATCGATTCACTACTGACCAAAATAATAATATAAATATAAGATTAATAATATAAATCCTATAAAGAAAACAAATTGAATAAAAGTAGCATTCGCAGAAAACAATGTCTGATCAGGTAAGTCGCATTGACAAGGGTTGCCCAATCCTGCTCCTGCCGATCGTCTGTCCTGCACAGTTCATCTCCAACCCTAATCAAACACACCTGAAGCAAACAATTAACGTCTTCAGGATCTCTTTGCAATGGGTTGGAGATGAAATCGAGTAGTCGGGAAATCGTGTAACAAAACTGATATAACTCACTACATATTTCCGTTATTTGTAGTCTTCAGTTTGTTTTTCCTTTTACACAAATACACAAATACGAACATATATGAACATTTACATTTACATTTGTATACGGCAGTATGTTGTGACTTATATCAGTTTTGTTACACGAATTCGCAGTAAATATTACATTATATATACACTTTTATGCCGATGTTTATTTTAAACTCTCCCTTTTTCTTTTTTTGGTCTCCTCTGACAAAATCTTTGCTTTCTTCGCTTTCTTCCGAGTAGCTGTTGATTCAGCCATGACGACAACATACAGACGCCGGCAGTCAAACGCGAGTTGAGCTCTCACGTTAGAATTTGAGGAAGTTGGGGTGGTGGGGGAAGTGACGTATGCCGTAAAGCGGTCGAATTTTGTAGTTCTTTTTGTGCTCAGGTTCCTACCCGAAACCCGAAGTTACATAGTGCTAGTAAAAGCGATACAGACAGCTTCAGGCTTCGGCAGACGTGTCATTCAACCTATTGTAAGTCGATGTACCATCTCAATGGGTTTTGGTAATATATTATAAAGGTTGAAAAGTTCCACAGTGTGCCTTTAAGAAAATGCACACATTTGTTAAAGGGGTCATATAATGGTACATGCACTTTTACAAGTTGATTGTACTGAAATGTGTGTTGGCAGTGTCTGTACACAACCATCATATAATGATAAAAATCCATCCAGTGGTTTTGTTTTAATCTCCTTATATGTTTTCCCCTGTCTTAAATTGAGCCGTTCGTTTTTGTGACGTAAATAAAACGGACGCCCCTCCCACGATTGTTGATTGACAGCCGCGACAGCCGCGTTTCAACACAGACCCGCCCTCGCTAGCTGTCAATCACAGTCAGCGCGGACCGGCGCGGTCATTGTTGATATGCTGGAGCACTGTCTATGAGCAGAATGGCGTCTAAGCGATTGTGGTGTTCTGTTCTTGGGTGTAATAACGAACACAGCAGTCATTTTAATGTTCCTAAATCCGAACCGCTGAAGACGCAGTGGCTGAGTTTGTTTTCGAAGGGAATATTCCCCACGAGCAACGTCAATGCTCATGTTTGCGCGAATCATTTCACACACCAGACTGCTTTATAAACGAGGATCAGTATAAAGCTGGTTTTGCTAAGAAGCAGCTCCTGAAGAAAGGATCGGTAGCAGATATTCGTGTTCCAGCTGAACCTCCAAAAGAACTGAAGTAAGTGTAACGTTTTATTAAACTTTATATTACTATTTATATTAATCCTTGTAAATCGCTAGCTGCATGCTGCACAATGAATGCGTCTAAGGTTTACACTCAGGGTACATTACGGCATGTTTTCTATGTATGACGTTCTCAATATAATGCATAATCCCACGTTTATACTGAACAACGCGATGTCTATGTGTTATTGTGTTACAAACGGTGTACGCCAGAGCCGGCTCTGGTGACGCATAGAACAGAGAGGCGGAGTCAGCAAAGCTCATGATCATTTAAAGTCATATACACTGAAACGGCGTGCTGAAAACAGAGCTGTTTTTGACCAGGTAAAATAAGTGTTTTCTTGCAATACTAATGAGAATTTTTAATTAAAGTATATTACAAACTTTTAATTTAGACCCTAAAGAATCATATTAGCTTGTACAAAAATGGCATTATATGACCCCTTTAAGAGACACATCCCCCCTAGCAAGGAAAACCAGGGAACAGCTGATAGCTCTGCCAAATTTTTAAACCATTATTAATTATTTATCCCTCTAAAATGTTCCTTTATCAATAAAATACAATTCCCAGGACAAAAATCACCCAGTTGAACATACAGCTCAGTGCAGGGTTTGGCATCCTCTCCACATACTTCTGGGGTCCCTGGTTATTGTTTTCACTTCCCTGGCAAGTCTGCATTTCTCTCATTACACGCTGCCAAGCTGTTGGAAGAAGTGTTGATGTTATTTAAAACTCTAATTCCCAAACAACATACAAACAGAATATTTTTTATAGGCCACTGATTTTTTTTTTTATCTCTGCCTTTTGAAAAGATTTCCTAAATTCGTATGAAGCAACTTACTGTAATGAATGAATCGCACATTTTCCTCGTGTGCTGGTGTGAGTAGATCCTCTGTGTTGGTTGGGGAACAGTCTCCGGACATCTGCTTGTAATTTTGAACCATGCTTGAGGATGGAGAGCTGCCCACAACACTGTCAAAATCCCCATGCATCAGTTTAACACATTCAATCAAACCTATGACACTAAAGTGACAGACCCACGGTGAAATGCGTCATTGTTAAATGGACAACACAACGTTAATTACCTGATTATTTGTGTTTTTTAGGGAACTGCTCTCCAGGAAGTGTCAAAGCACAAAAGTAGGCAGTTTAAACCTGGAAATGTAGCAATAGCTTTTAGAGCTGTGGTCTGTTCTTATTTATTTTATTTTTTTACGTGCTGTCATTTTGAGGTCAGTCTCACAAACAAACACTAGTTTGCCGCCGCATGTAATTTAAATAGCAAATGTGTTTATTATCCGATAAAGGGACGTCATATTTTCGTAAATATCTGACTAGCTTAGCAGCTAACATCAATAACAGAACCCCCCCCCCCATAAAAAAATAAACGTTTAAACAAGAGATCGATCCGACGTAACTAATAACGTTATATAGTTAATGCGAATAAAACTTATGCGCATTTAGAACTTACAAACTGGCGTTTAAATCCTTTGTTCCAACCAAAACGATCCTTAACGTATACGGCTGCGTTGAGGGGAGTCCAGCACAACAATCAGTGATGATGGCACGTTAGATTGGAGAACGAATCTGTTGAATCGGACCTTTTCAATGAATCAAAGATATTGGTCTGACACAGAGATGGGCGTAAATACATGGAAATGTATTTAAAATACAAATACAAAATACTGTGTGGAAAAATGTATTTAAATACAAAAACAAAATACTGTGTGAAAAAATGTATTTAAATACAAATACAGTATTTTGTATTTTGAAAATACACAAAATACATGTGAAATTGGCCATCCAGTGCAGGCATAGGTCACAGTGAATAAAGAAACTACATAGGCCTAATTGCTGGCCATTACAAATAAACTTGTGCAAAATAGCAGCCATTTATATACTTATTTCTGACCAGGTTACAATGTAGTCGATTACTTGTGGTGAACACTATTAAAAAATTCATACTGCATGTAAAACTGTGGGTACCTTTTCTGCTTTCTAGCAAAGAATATGACCCAAAATCTGACTTCACAGTAACAATATATATCATGGTTTCACAATTTTCAATATCAGTTTTAATACAACAGCAAAAAATGGAAGCTTTAGCGTTAAGTTCTGCCAGGAAGACTCAATTGCTATACGTCACTTATTACCTTCTCATCTATCCAATCGTGTCTAATACTTGCGGTATAAAAGACCAGTACTTACACATGTTTGAGTTCGCAGATGCTGACGCTTTCATTCACCTCCATCCTCCCCACCACCACCAGGATGGTCCCGTCCCCTCCATCCTCCCCACCACCACCAGGATGGTCCCGTCCCCTCCATCCTCCCCACCACCACCAGGATGGTCCCTTCCTATACCTCACAGGGGGTCGGCTGCGCCCCTGCCTTCGTCTTCAGGCAGGAAATGCAGAGTCCGGACCCTCGGATTGCGAGCTATGGACGGGGCCTACGCCAAAGAACTTTATTGCTTGCTGGGCTATCAATAAATGTATTTATTGTTACAGTATTTATTCTCCCGAGTCTTTCTGGTAGAACTGAATTTCAAACTCTGTTGAAGCTTTTTTTTTTTTTTTTTGGCGGGTAGTCCAATGCTTTTTAAGTAGGGGTGTAACGATACCCTCATCTCACGATTCGATACATATCACGATACTGAACTCACGATACGATATTATTGAGATACTCCAAGACATATGATAAAAAGGTTAACAAAATTTACTGTTGATTAAAATGCTAAATTTGATATTACATTGTGTGTGTAAATGAATAGGTTTGGACTCTGCTGGAAACCCAAAGCACAGGACAATAGAGACACCAGAATAACAATATTCATGATTCTGAAGCTGAAAACAGAATTATTTAAGACGAATATGCTTGCACTCTTTCAATGACTAGATATGTATGTGGCCAAATAATGTAGGCCACATACTTTAGAGTTAAAGGGATAGTTCACCCCAAAATGAAAATTCTGTCAGTAATTACTCACCCTCATGTTGTTCCAGCCCAGTAAGACTTTCGTTCATCTGTTCAATGAAGATATTTTTTATTAAATCTGGATCACTCCTACATAGGCTTCTAAGGGATCGAAACTGGCCGGCCCAAAAGTTATGAAAGACATCGTTAAAATAGTCCAAGTGACTACATTGGCTCAATCTTAAGTTTATCAAGCGACGAGAATACTTTTTGTGCGCAAAAAAACAAACAAAAATAACGACTTTATTCAACTATTCATTTCCTACTCTGTGGGCCTCGAGATTTCACGTAGCGTAACAGCGCAGCGCTTCTGTGTTGTACATCACACACATGACCAGCGTCGGCCAATAGTGAGCCTACGTGTGACATACAACACAGAAGCGCTGCACTGTTACACTACAACTATCTCGAGGCCAACAGAGAAGGAAATGAAGCCTATGGAGGAGTGATCCAGCTCTCAGATTCAATCAAAAATATCTTAATTTGTGTTCTGAAGATGAACGAAAGTCTTACGGGGTTGGAACAACATGAGGGTGAGCTGACAGAGTTTTGGGGTGAACCATCCCTTTAACATCAGACATTTGGCATTATCAGGACCCACAAATATTCCCTAATAATTGCATTATTATTATATTCAACACTATATAGTAGTTAAATGTAGTACTGACACTAAAACTCTGTAAACTAGAATTTTTTCTCACACATTAGTTTTTTTTGGGGGGTGAATTATCCACGATACATATTGTTGCATTTTTGTATTGCGATATATTGTGACACGATATTGTTACACCCCTATTTTTTAAGTATAGTAATTTTATATTTATTTTATGTAAAGTTTATTTGTTTCTATAAGTTCATTAAAATTATAAATGAGTCTGAACTAGTTGATGCACGAAACCAGCACCTGGATAAAGAGGTTGACTGGCAAAAAGTATTTTATGTATTTTGAAAATACAAAAATACTCATCTTAAATGTATTTAAATACAAATTACATTTGATTTTCCCCAAAGGCTTCAAAATACAAAATACAAAATAGTATTTTGTATTTCAAATACGTATTTTAAATACATGTATCTGAAATACTGCCCATCCCTGGTCTGACATCAGTACTACGATACCACTTCTTTGAATTCAGTCACATTTAACCAGGAACCGCCTCTTTCAGCCTTATGTCTGACATGCATAATGAGCCGAGAACCAATATTGAACTGACAAGAATCTAAATTTTACCGATGGGTCGAAAAGTAAATTTAGTAACGTTACTTCAATTGTTTACTTTGTTTTTCCAAGCTGAATTCTGCAAACTCAAATTGGACACAGTTATAAACGCAAATACTCATAAACGCAAAAATAACATACATACACAAATTAAAACGGAACATTTGTTTTATTGGAACGATGTATACTACCACGCTGGGATGTCTGGAAGAAGGCGATGGCGTCGCCTCATGAACCCGTAAAAGAATCACTAAATTTAATGGTCCGATTCTCAAGTGTTTCAAATAATCAGTTCGCGGAAATAAATTGCCATCAGTAACAGCACATTCGCGATGCGTTCAGCAGAGCATATCCGCGTTCAACCAACCAGCTTCCCCTCTCTGGACGTCATGGGTTGAGCTTGACCTAGTCCAGCTCCACCTCTGTGGATCTAATGGGTGGAGGAATAGCGTTATGTTAGGGACGGGTGAGGTCCATGCATGGTGTGGTCGGACCTTCTAGCTCCACCCCTTAAGCCCAAATTACATCTAGAGCCGGAGCTGGAGTTCACGCTCCACCCATGGCTCTGCAGAGCAGCCTCTCTTCAGTTACGTGTGTGTGTGCCTTTTAGAATACAAATGAGGTAATTTCAGAAACATTAGACGTTAAAATTTAGGTATAGAAAATGTCATTTAAGAACAATGGCATAAATACAAGTGTCTGATATCACATTGAAAAGGTGGTAAAACCGTTTATTTTGGGGCGGGGTTGCGTAATAGCCTACATTTTCCAGTCAAAAGCCCATTAATTATTATTGTATTTATATTGTGTAAGGAGTCTAACTTTCCCTGTTGTGTCGTTTATCTGAGTGAAACGGTTTCTTCTTCTTCTTCTTAAAAAAAAAAAAAAAAGTAGGGCGGGGCTTGATTTTGTCCATCAAGAATTTATTGGATCGATGGATCACGTGAGTGACAGGTTGTCCCGCCCTCGCGCCAGTAAATATTCCATCAGAGAAGAGAAGATATTTTGATTAAATATTACGAGGGCACATGAATTGAAATAATAATAATGATGTGTGCACAGATAAATCATTTAGCTATATAGGCTAATACTGCAATGTTCTATTAAAAAGTATGAATTGCCACATTTGATTTCATGGTGACTTCAAATAACAGACACATTTATATATATATATGGGTGTTTCTGCAACTACGGGCACTTTTGACTATCCCAATTTAAAAAAAATCAACCTCTATGAATTTCAATTTTAACCATTACAGTCTGTAATACATATAAAAATGTACACAAAATAGAATGTAGTCGTTAAGATTTTAATCTGGAACATGTTTATTTTTTATGTTTTTCGGGTCATCTTCTTAAAAAGTGTCCTTACCGCAACTTTACAATAACGTTCATTTTATACATTTTTCTTTAGTAATTTCTATAAAAAAATTATATATTTAAATAGCTTTTTCAAATTTGATACAGTTTTGCAAATACTGATATAATAAAATAATATACAAAATAGGGAATTTCATGTTTTTTTCTATGCCATGTAAAAAATGTACAGTAACCTTAGATGTCAATTGTTTCCATACACACAAAAGATGACATATTTAACTTTTTATGACAGATGTTGCAATTTCAATGTGTTAATCATCTCAGCTTAAGTGTAAAAATATTTTTTGCAAATGAAAATGTGAGAAAAAAATGAAAATAGAGCAGTGCTGCGGTAATGACATCTTGTGTCGGTAAGGACACAATGTTAAACTGCCACGAAATCAAAAACAGGCTACTGTAAAAAAAAAAGAAAAAAAAAAAAGAAACATGCTACAGAAAACAAAAGGTATTGCATGTGTAAAAGATAGTAGCAGTTTTGCAGTAAATAACTATTTTAATTAACTCTTACTCTTTTAACTGCTTCAAAAATATTGTCTCCTAAAGTTGATGATTCATGTTTATATATATACTAATATATATACTAATATATGTTTCAGTACTAATAATATACTGAATATTAGTAATTTAATATACAGTAAACCTTAAATTTGTCTCTACCACAACACAAGGTCTTTACCGCAACACCTAAATTTGCTGCGGTAAAGACATGTTGCAGAAATGACATTTTTGCTAATATTTTAGCTAATTGGCAGCTAGCAAGGCCTACCACATTAGTTTTGACTCTTAGCATCTTAATATACATGAATTCAACAGTAATATACATTTATTTTTAAAATGTAGTTCAAAATACACAATTATTAAGCTGAATGGTAAGGACGCACAATAAATACTAGAGCAGAAAAGATGATGTTTACCTTATTTTTTTGGTATCTTGTGAGTGAGGTAGTGTGGTGGCCCCGTCTGTCAGCAATGTGCTCAAGTGATAATTTCTGTTTCCATAGAAACTAGACTTGTTTGGGTTCGATAAAACTTCATAATAAAAGCTTTTTTTCATTGTTGCGGTAAGGACTCAAAAGTGTGGGACAGGCACATTTAGTTAAAAAAATCATAAAAATTATTAGTAAATAATACAAAGAATTTTAAGGTGCTGTAAATGAATCTGTATATTAAACAACTCCATTTGAAATAATGTCAAATTGTAATTAAATTAGCTTATTTTATTTATCTCAACATTGAGACCACAGGTGTGGGACATTAACAAAAATGGTGTTTTGAGCTATAAATGCTTCATAATATTATATTTAATCACATTAATCAGTAATTATATTTTTTTTGTCAAGGTGTGTAATGGCACTGTGGATATATTTATGAAACATCAAATGACAAATTTGAACATAAATAAAAAATTTCACTGCTGGGACTTAAAAAGTGCCCGTAGTTGCAGAAACACTATATGTATAAAACTTTTAAACAGGTATGTATAAAATTAAGACTTTCTGCAGTGGCAGGTTTTACATGTAAATGGATAAAAAAAATTACACAATAACAAGGTGATTTATCAAACTCTCACAACAGTGCATTGATTTGCTACTAAAAAAATCATGTTTCACAATAGAAGGCATTAACTATAACAAACTGACATAAAATCTGTTGTGATTCACATTAGCTTAGAGCAAGAACACTGCATCGTCTCACTGGAAGAGTTCGTTCCTGCGGAGGCAAGTGCAACTCACATCCTAATCGCTGTCATTGGTCCAAATGGACCAGACAATTATAACGAGACACACTGTCAGGGTGTCTCATCTACAGCACCACTGTATACACAGTGGCTGTTCCACTCCATGGAACTCATACTCTTGATGTGGCAACTGCCACAAAAGAGGAGAGCAATCAGAAGATCATCAGTTTCAGGTAGGGGATGCAAGTTCAGTCACCACCGACACCAAAGAGTTCAAGCAGCTCTTTGCAGTCTGGGTCAATAAGATCAGCAGGCTTCTCCCCACAGTCATTTTCAGCCTCGGTGTCTGCACCCAAGGAAAGTAAGAACCTGAAAACAAAAACAATTTCTTTAAATCTTCCCCCAGTTTCACTTTCTTGACTGATCTGGTTTTACTAATCTCACACATTTTAGAGGTCAAAGAATATAGCAGTGTTCTGTTTGGCTTTTTTGCAGCCTTTCAAGTTCTTAACTTGAACTAAATGGTCTTTATTTTCTAAATAGTAATTATCTATGAAATGCCCCAAAAAAACCCATAAAAAATTGAGCAGTTCACTTACTTAGCTATCTCTGGAAAGCCATCACTGCAGGCCATGTGGAGGGGAGTCCATCCGTCCTCGTCTCTCTGGGTGATGTCAGCCCCAAATTTTACCAGAAGCTTCACACAATCCAGGTTTCCAGATAGGACTGCCTCATGAATGGCTGCCATGCCTGGACAATCAGCAAGAAGTTAATTTTAAAGGACAGGCTCAGACAGCACAATTATCAGTGGATTAAAGCTTGAGACACTGACGATTATGTTATCAAGCATATATATGCTGCCTAGACAAAAATGGCATTGCTAATGCAATAGGATAAGCCTTTATTGGAGATCAGGGAATGCTTTTGTGATCAGTATTGCATTTTAATTACTTTCATGCAGAGTATCTAGTTGATTCTGAACAAAGATTTACTTTCCCTTGCAGACTTAACTCAGTATACAAGTAGTTGGCGTTCCTACCTGAATGGTAAATGGTGTCCAGGCGCACTCTTCTGGTTGTAAGGAAGCGTGCAATTCTTTCCAGCTCTCCTTGACGGACATAATCCTGAAACACTATGTCATTGGGAAAGTGAACATTGCGAACAGGTTTGATGGAAGTCTGAGAATGAGAGCATGACACTGGACCAGTGGCATTTGGCTTGCAGCCCTCAAAGCGCATGGTGTGGGTGACTGGACACTGGTAGAACTTCATTCTTTAATGTTCTTGTTTCCAAGATAGGATGAGAATTCTGTACCAATTCTCAACGTGGCTAAAAGGTTCAGCAGAATAGGGTCTTAAGAAGTTTCTTCTTTAAAAGTTTTTTCCAAGGTGCTGTTCTAGATGATAGCAGCTGGTCAGTCTCCCTGTTCGTCTCTTAATGTAGTGATCCTTCCTAGACAGTCGTTAAGAAATTGGTCTGAAGTCAGGGCTCTGTGTGTACCCTATATATACCCTGCTCTAGACTATATTAAGAGGCTGTCGTCTCATAGCTCAGATGACTGAATTGGAAGACGAGTGGGTGTGATCTGAAGTCACACCCCAACAATACTCAGCCAACTTAGCAATGAGATCCGTAACCTTAGCTTGTTTTCATGCACCACATTTGAACCCAGTCTTGCCTCCTCCTCCTCCTCCTCCTCCTCCTGCCTGTTGTCACACAGCAGGGAACCCAACAGTAATTTCCAGTACACGTTGAATAGGGCATAAAGGTGGTTTATAGGTAATGCCTGCCAAATGTGAAGGTAAGGAGATTTTGATCACAATTAAATATTTAAAAATAACACTTAAAAATAAACAGCCAGCAAAAAAGATGCTCTTGCCCGGAAGACTATTTTCAGATGACTGTTTAATCACATTAATGTGTCATGATTTCTGACAGCGGTATATATACTTTGTCTACTACATGACTTTCTTTTTTGGAAGATGAGTTACTACTCGGCACCAGTTCAGAAGTTTCTGCATGTTTTGCATGAAATGCAGAAAGCAACCCAAAATGGTTAAAAACCCTGGATCTCAATCAAAATAGGAAAAATTCAATCATTTACTCAACCTCATGATATTCCAAACTGTATTTGTTTAATGGAGTTTTGAAGATTGTTAATGCAGCTTTTTTTTTTCTCAAGGACAGTTCACTATGCCCATGATTGTCAAGCTCCAAAAAAACATGAACAAAGTACTTCCAAGGATTGAATACCTTTGTGGGAGGACCAGCAGGAATTTCAATCATTTTGTGAATTTATATTTCATTCTGCCAAAGCTCTTATATTTAATATACCAAAATTGCAACTGAATGAAATTAAAGCTGCAGTAAAGGGAAAAGAATTCAGTTAATAAAATAAATAATACCTCACACAAACCATATTGTATATGGACACAACTTTTGTTGCCATTCTTTATTAAGCTTGAAAGCCATGGCCACTGAACTGTGTTGTACATGTGAACTGTAAGGTATAAAAAGGTATGAAAACTTAAGATTCTCACGTCCCATGGAAAAAACACCATACAGGTTTGGAACAGCAGGGGCTGAATAAATAGCTTTTATTTTTTAGGAAAATCTTAGACAAAGTGCAGAGCACAACCTTTAATATTCATTTAGAAGATGCCAACTGACTGAATCAGTCATGTTAAAACATAAAATACAAGAAATAAAACACAACCCAACAGGTTTATCACCATTTTGTTGTTTATTTGGCCACCAGTTTACTTTATCAGTCAATTTAAATGCAATGGAATGCTTGATCTCAAACATGTTTCAAAACCCAAATTCCTCCCAATATAATTACCAAACCACCCCTTTCTTCAAATGTCACCCCATGAAATTCACCCCTCCTAGAAAAATAAAGACAGACAACATGAGGGTTAACCAAATCACACACTCATAACCCTGACATAAGGGGAAAAGACTGATTAAGCTGGTTACAAGCACACTTTCTCCTCCCCGTCAAGCTGACCACTCAGACGTTGTCAACCGGCAATGAATGAATCTTCCACTAAAGATGGAAAGCAGGAAGGGTATGGGAGATGAGTTGTCCTTACAAGATGACAAATCTTTGCCATTTCATTAACTGATATGGAATCTCTGATGGCACTCAATGAAGTGCAAAAAAGGTTTCAAATCATCCTCCCAGATGACCAGAAAGCTGAGAGGGCCAACTCTGCCCCAGGTTTAAAAAAAAGAAAAAAGAAAAAAAAGTGCTGTTTCTGGGCCCTTCAGTATGCAAGGTTATAAAAATGAAAATCATTGAAATATAAAATTAAATAAAACAAGTTCTCCACTTTTACATTTTTTAAAATAATTCAGTAGCAGGTGTTAAAGATTTTGAAAAATATAGAAAATGACAATGTGGTTTGACAGTAAAGGAACAGGGAAGGTACCTTAGTTTGTTCTCAGCTAAGTTCTGCATGCACTGTAATGGCAGCCCATTATAATAATTGTATTTCCACCCCATGAACATCAACATACAGCCCCTCTGCCCTGAAATGTCCTTTCATTCAAATAACAGAATCAAGGCAGAATAACTAGCCTCCCCCCTCCTTCATGGGTAGAGTATTACTAGTATTAAGCTGCAAAATCATAGTCCCAGGATCATAAATGGAGTTGGGGGACAGAAAAAGTTAAACAGATTACCATTACAATTGAACCTAAAAACTAGATAGTTTAATGCCAGAAATCCCTGTAAAATAAAACACTTCAAAGAGATCATTGTTGTGGGTAGAGAGACACTTCTCTGGGCTGCAGATGGTTGGCCAGGGTGGTAATGACAGTACTGGCTGACAAAGGACCCTGTAACGCCCAGTGGCTGTACGATTAGTTAGGAAAAGCTTTAGTGTTCACAGACAGGGAGGTTTAAAGTGGAGGTGGTGGTGGTGAAGGGTTTTGTCTCGCCTTTTCCTCCTGACTCTTATAACTCATCGTGTCCCTCTTCCACATCAGAATCATCCTCCTCTGCATCATCCAGATCAAGATCCTGTGCAAAGCGCAAGATATTCATTTTAGAATCCATGTAAAAACAAGGCTGTTTTAGTACAATGGAAACTACTTTTATTATTGCCCACCAAAACAGTTTTCACAGCCAATTATGACCATCTCAAATGACCAGAAGGCCATTTGTACTAGCATGAATTCAATTTATCAAAACTAATATGCCCTGCCACAAACATGCTAGTAATCCCTGCAGGAAAAAAACAAGTGCACGATACGTTTACAGGGGCTGAGATCTGTTGTCACGAGTGTTCGGTTGCAAAGCCCTTTCCTCATAGCTGGAACGTGTGGACTAGCTATCGTTGACTGACTTAGTCCTGTCAGTTGTGGTAATAAGTGGTGGGGGGAGATCATGGGATCATGGGGTGGGGCTGGAAGGTAAACAGCTATAACAGTTGAGTTGGGAATTAGTGGCAATGATAATGTTCTACAATTAGACTTGCCCAAAGAGGAAGCAGGCAGTCTGGAATGGATTTCTATGATCCTAGATTGTGCCTAAACTGATAACATTAGTCTCAAAGACTCTGGACTGGGGACTGATCTGGACATCAGTGAAGCCAGAGTGAAAGGAAATAAGGTGGAAGTTTATAATTGAATGACGCCCAAACTTTAAAGGTTGATGAAGGGCCACTTTAATGAACTCTGAATAACCCAGGGCCTGTTTACACCTGGTATCAAGATGAGTTTTGGTCGATCGGATCACAAGTAGACTAGGGAGAAACACCCGTTTATAGCAGCGATTGTTTCAGCTCTGATAGCCGCAAGACCACTCCAAATGCTGTGAATGCATGTTAGAAATAAGGAATGGTGAGACAACAGTGCTTGGTACGTTTTTAGTCTTCAAACCAAACTGAGATCTTCAGCCGACAAGGTTTCAGTTCCATCTGGTTAGCGCACTTCCACTTTGGGGCTGTTGTTGCCTAATGGTTAGCGAGTCCGACTGGTAACCCAAAGGTTGCTGGTTCAATTCCAGTACCGGCAGGAAATTACTTTTGTGGCTGTTTAAAAATTGGTATGTCACGGTGAAGAAATTCACAAAACTTGCGATAACACCACTGGTATTACCGATCACACTCGGTCTATAGGCCTATAATTGCTATCTATATGCGGGGTATTGAAATTGCACTCAATCGAATCAGTCAAATTTGCGACCACGAGTACACCATGTATAGGGAGCAGCGGTACTGAGCGCACATTTTACAAGATGAGATATTTGTCAATGACACTGATGCTGCATGGAGCAGAGCAGACCCTTTCAGTTAATAATTTTAGCAGCCGTTGTCCAACTGAACTAAATGGTTTTTATTTCCACACAAACACAAAAAAAGCGAAGACAGAGGGGGCTGTGCCATGGTGGGCAAGTAAAGTAATCGTGTACGAGCGAACACAGACTACCACAGCAAGCCTAGTTCAAATGCATTCGACCACATAAGAGTCTACACCACGAATGCATCCGGTCAAATGAGTTTGACTACCTCTGGAAGTAGTAGAATGTGGACGAGCTCAAAAGAATTTAGACCAGGTTTACAGCTGTATTTAGCGTCGTACACTTGTGATCGGATTGACGAAAATGCTTCTTAATCATTTTAATCACTTAATCAGGTCTTTTACCCCCTGCAGAGGAGGACCAGAGCCACGAATGCCCATGAGACCGACAGCAAACAACTGCAGCTCCACAAGCAAACTCTTAAAGCTTACAACCAATATTATGCCAACTATCGGTGAAGCATTGACTATTTATATTGACAACACTGACAAATTTAGCAAATGAACAAATTCAACAAAAGTTAAACCAAATGACAGAAAACAAATTTAATTGCAGTAAAGTTAAACATACATCTGATTCTTCATCCTCATCTCCAGCTGGTGCTCCACCTTCTTTTCCTCCACTCTCCAAAAACTTTGTGAATCCATCTAGTGTTCTCTCACCATTGTAATCAATTACCTACAGAAAGAAAAAGAGACATAAGTGACAAACGTTTCAAACGAAACATGAACAGCCTATTATTTTTTATCACCCCCCACCCTTCAAAAGTAAAACAAAACCCACATATTTAAAGAGTGCTGGACATTAGCTTCCTGGCTCAAGTGTGCCACATGCAAAAAATATACTACCCACTAAGCTAAGACGATGAACTGACAAAACATGCCACACTTCTGCAGCGGCATACAGATCGAATGAACTGAGAAGTGCATTGATATACATGAACAAGTATTAGGAAAACTCCTCTGCCAGGAAAAGTGCATCTATGATATTGGCTAAAACATTAATATTGCTTGAAAGAATTAGGAGAAGTGCCCTCGGTTGCTTTCTTCCAGTTGAGGCGAATCATATCAGTCAAGATTAAATATTTATATACACATACATGTTTATGTATATGTATATATATACACATTTTTATATTTTACATGTATACATACACATGTATATACTAGGGGTTGAAAGATTTTAAGTCTACATTTATGTGATGAAAGTAGAGTCGACTAGTCGCTGATGAACAAATAAGTCTAAACCTCGAGCTGAGACTCGAACACGAGTTGCTATGTGCACAGCTATAGCATATGATAGCGCTCATATATACCAAGATTTTTAATGTTTTTAAAATATATATACACAAGATTTTTTTTAAAACATTACAAATCTTAGTGATCTTTAAAAAAAAAATCTTAGTATATATATTTTTTTAACATTAAAAATCTTAGTGTGTGCATATATATACACACATATATTTTTTTAAAACATTAAAAATCTTAGTATATATACTAAGATTTTTTAAAGATCACAAAAGATTTGAAAATTATAATATTTTGTTTTTAAAAAACATTAAAAATCTTAGTGTAATATTAAAAATCTTAGTGTTATATATATATATATATATATAATAGTGCTGGGCAACGATTAAAAAATTTAATCGCGATTAATCGCATTGTTACGCGCAAAATTGAATAATGAATTCTAGTAGTGTATTGCGCACTTTTGATTTAAATGTACTGCTACAAAAGTGCAATAACATGTGGTTTGCAAAAACTTTAAACAAATAAGGTGCTTTTATACCAGCAGTATTCCCTTTACACAGTATCAATAAAATATTTCTTGTAAATCTCAACTTAAACATTAATGTAATCAAATCAAATATTTAAACAAAGCTATTTGCCACTGCCAGGGCATTACCTTTTATCTAGCTTGTTAAAACGAGTCCAGTTTTCTTTTTTCTTTTTTTCTGAACAGGTATCTTGTATCAGGGAGCAGCAGAAACAGTCTATGTAGTCAAAGGGTCATGATCACTACTACAGATATAAGTCGACCAACGTTACTTCTCTGATAGCAGCTTAGGTTTGGTCATGGCATGCCATTTCCCACGTAAGATTACATTAAACAGAGGAGTGAGGTGAAGTGGTCGAGCACAGGTGCAGCGACAAGCGGGTGCGTTCCTGTGAAACTGTTGCAGTCATGCTCGCCTCACGCACGCGCCCGCGCGTTGCCGAAGTTGAATTGTCTAACTTTTTTGTACACGACGCGCAGCACAAATCATTGGAAGAGAGACTGATCCTCGGCTCGCTGTTTGTGAGTTTCCAGAATCTAAATAGTTATCAGGACATCAACAGGAGGGAATTCACATGGCAGAGCATCCCCGCTAAACTAAACGCAGGCCTATCAGGTAAAGTTATGTATAATTTTAATTTAAGTTAAAAAGGCTACCGCTGCGTAGCGCACAGAAGCCGGTGCCATGGTTACTATCCATAGAGCGCCTGTCATTCACTCGCGGGGCGCTGTCTCCCTTTCTGTTCACCTGAGAGAACCTGCCAAAGCCCATCCACTGCTTGTTTGGGTGGGTTATTTGCTGGCTGACCAACATCCCACCCCTCCTGTGATCATGGTTTGACTGTAGGCCTATGTGTATTCAGAGGCAGTGAGCAACGGACTTTCAAAATAATAATAATAAAAACCTCTGCGTTAACGCGCGATAAAAAAAATTGTCGGCATTAATTAATAAATGCGTTAACGCGATAACGCGTTAACTTGCCCAGCACTAATATATATATGTTTAAAAAAAAATTATATATATACACTAAGATTTGTAATGTTTTTTAAAAAATATATATACTAAGATTTTTAATGTTTTTAAAAATATATATACATACTAAAATTTGTAATGTTTATATAATTTTGTAATAAATTTGTAATATAATTTTCAAAGATCTTTTGTGATCTTTAAAAAAAATCTTAGTGTGTGTAATGTGTATATATATAATATATATATTATACACATGTATATATATATAAAAATAATGACATGACAATATTTAAATACATTTTAAAGTGCAATTTATTTCAGCATTACTCCAGTCTTCAGTCACATGATCCTTCAGAAATCATTCTAATATGCCAATTTGATGCTCAAAAGATTCTGAGCTGTTCAAAGATTCCTGAAATAAAAATTGTCCACAACCATTTCATTCATTTGAAATAGAATCTTTTGTAGCATTATAAATGTCTTTACTGTAACTTTTGATCAATTTAATGAAACCTTTGCTGAATAAAAGCATTAAAAAAAAATCTTACTGACCCCAAACAAATAAATGCTGTTCTTCTGATCTATTAAAATAAAATTGCGGCTAATAATAATAATAATAATAATGTTTATTATTAGTTATATACAAATCAATGTTATTAGCAGCAAATTAACACAGAATGATTTCTGAAAGTTCATGCGACACTGAAGACTGGAGTAATGATGCTAAATTCAGCTTTGCATCACAGGAATAAATTACATTTTAAAAACTTAAAATGGAAAACTATTATTTTAAATTGTAATATTTCACAATATTACTGTATTTTTGTTGTATTTTTAAATCAAATAAATGCAGACTTTTAAAAACATTAAAAATCGTACCGATCCCAAACCTTTGAACGGCAGTGTATATACCGGTACACACGCATACAGTATCTCACAAAAGTGAGTACACCCCTCACATTTCAGTATATCTTCTCAAGGGACAATAAAATCTATCCAAGTTTAATTTCTATAGTAGAGTATATACTGCTATACAAGCAGCACATTGACTATTTACTGTCCTCTGAAAATAACTCAACATACAGCCATAATTTGTCAAAATAAATGGCAATAAAAGTGAGTACACCCTAAGTGTACATGTCGCAGTACATGTTGGAATCCATGCTTCCCTCAATGAAGTGCAGCTCCCCAGTACCAGCAGCACTCATGCAGCCCCAGACCATGATGCTACCACCACCATGCTTGACTGTAGGCAAGAAAATTCTTGGTACTCCTTACCAGGGCGTCGCCACATGGACACCATCTGATCCAAACAGGTTTATCTTAGTCTCAACAGATCACAGAACATGGTTCCAGTAGAGATGCACCGATTACAATTTTCTAGGCAGATTCCGATTTCCGAGAGTTTGACCTGCCAATCCTGATTTCATTTTTTCTAACCACTTTACAGCACACACAAATATTTATTTTCTCTCTTTTCTTTAGTAGAACATTTTACATCGAACATTTTTGAAAAGTAGTCGCTATAAAATAGGACTATATAAATTACTCATGGTGTGGGAAGTTCACACACATCTAAAGTGCAGGGTTATGGAATAACCATTTCCTTCTTTTCACATCCAATATCCAACTAAAAAAATTTGTTCATTTAAAAAAAGAAAATTCATTTTCTTTTCTGACATATACAGTTAAAACACACCAGACATGCAAATTCTGTGCATTTTGGGCACTTTTTTGTGAAATCATTTATTTTGTCCATCAAAAGTGTGCTTTCACTTTAACTGAGCGTGAGCAGTGCAGCAAAAATAGACACTGCGCCGAAACCCGTGCTTCACCGCTGCTCCTGCTCGACGCTCACGCGCTGCTCCTGCTCCCGGTGTGAATGCACTCATTGATTAACATGCACGCCGGAAATACGCGCTGCTCAAGTTTTCGGTGTGAAACGGTCGTAATTCACGAGGTTTCCTACAGGTGTGTTCCGTGCATTTGTGATGCTAATGTTGCGCGATGTTAATCATGCGGCGCCCGAGTGCATTTGACCGGCATAAAATCGGCATATGTCAGACTGACCGGCCGGTCGCCGATCATGGCCGATCACGTGAAAATCGGCCAATTCCGGTCACCAGCCGATCAATCGGTGCATCTCTAGGTTCCAGTAATTCATGCTCTTGGAGAGATTGGTTTCAGCAAACTGTTTGCAGGCTTTCTTGTGAGCCAGCTTCAGAAGAGGCTTCCTTCTGGGACAACGGCCAAGCAAACCGACTTGTTGCAGTGTGCGGCGTATAGTCTGAGCACTGACAAGCTGACCTTCCGCTTCTGCAACCTCTAAAGCAATGCTAGCATGACTCATACGTCTTTTAAGCCAGCTTCTGCACCTGACGCACAGCACGAGGACTTGACTTCTTTGACCCTTGCGAGGCCTGTTCCAAGTGGAATCAGTCTTGGAAAACCTCTGTATGAGCCTGGCCTGTACTGTAACTCAGTTTCAGTGTGTTACCAATCTTCTTATAGCCTAGGTCAACTTTGTGAAGAGCAACAATTCTAATATCATAAGAGTTCTTTGCCATGAGGTGCCATGTTGAACATCCAGTAGTCAGTATGAGAGAATTGTACTCAAAGCACAAATTTTAACTGCTCTAATACAAGATACACAAATTTGTATGGTCCTGTCAAGCAGACAAAAACATGAAAATGATGAATAGGACATGTGGCTTTGCATGGTTAAATGACGTACAGCTATTATCACTTAGGGTGTACTCACAGCCATTGTCAAAATAGCGGTCAACAAAAGCTGGGGCGGCAGTGGCTCAGTGGTTCATGTAGGTTGTTTACAAACCGGAAGGTTGGTGGTTCAATCCCCGGTTCCACCTGACCAAGTGTCGAGGTGTCCATGAGCAAGACACCTAACCCCAGCTGCTCCCGACGAGCTGGATGGCGCCTTGCCGTCAGTGTATGAATGAGTGAATGTGAGGCAAAATGGCCACCAATCGCTTTGGTGGCCAATGCCATTGGGTCTGTGAAAGCGCTATATAAATGGAGTCCATTTACCAAAAGTCGGTTGAGTTATTTTCAGAGGATAGTAAATATATACACAGCTATACAAGCAGCACATTGACTACTCTAAAATATATCCAAGTTTCATTTCTATAGTATTGTCCCTTAAGATATACTAAAATGTTTGCTGAAATGTGAGGTGTACTCACTTTCGTGAGATACTGTAAATACACGTGCATACATATACCAAAAAATATATATGTGTATATACACTGCCGTTCAAAGGTTTGGGATCGGTAAGATTTGTAATGTTTTTAAAATAATTCTATAAGTGTTTATAAAAAAAAAAAAAAAAAAAAAAAAAAAAAAAAACTCGCATGGCCTTACCTTACGGTCATCGCCAGCAGGGAAGAACTTTAGCGTGGGGAAGCTATGCACTTTGACAGATTCAATCTCATTGGCTGTGGAGTCCATCTTGGCCACAACGGTGTTTGCGTTGTCTTTGAATTTCTCACCCAATTGATCCCAGATGGGGGCCAGCTGCTTACAGTGACCACACCATGGGGCATCTGGATAGAAAAAAAGGGAATAAAGAAAAAAAAAATCAAACCTGTTTGAATTAAGGCATAAAAGGTGAGTAAATGACAGAACTTAATATTGGGTAAACTATCATTTTAATTGGACTACAATTGCAGAGCAAGTGCAACAAATCCAAGAGCAAGACAGAAGCAATTTGTGACACTGACAATTCTCCAAAAATGTGATTACACATTGTGTCATGTATGCTTGGACATACATGGCTCGACTATACAAAACCCCACTGGCAGCAATGACTAACTATACAGATAAAAGTACTTGATGTTTGTGATAATGATATGACCCATCATGAAATAATGTTGGATAATGGCTAAAAATTGGCAGACTTGCAAAGAGTACAAGGTAAAGGGTATAGAAACATGAATGTACAGGACCTACAACAGTTTCAGGGTGCAGAGGAATAAGAGAATAGGAGTAAAGTTGTGGAAAAAAGCAGTTGTGCATCAGGCACTAGGGGTTACTGACAGCTAGATGCATGCTGAAATCCTATCCACCGTTTAAACACTGGGCATAGACGGAAATCCAAACTTTTCACATGCTCAATTTACCGCCACTCCTAATACCTGCCCTCAAATGACACAAAGAACACCATTTGTTAGAAAGTCAGTCACAGAAAAAAAGTGCCAAGTTTGGGAAGCAAGTTGCTTTAAATAACTCTGGAGCCAAAATGATCTCAGCATTTCCCATTATTGCATGTTTAAGAGATTATGTGAGCATCCTGTGAGTACCCATGCCAGGATTAGCAGTATGCTGGACAGGAATCTTGCGTTTATGATGCCAGGCTTTGAGAGCGGCAATCGAGAGATGCCGCCTTAAAATAAAACAGGCAATTTGCCATGAAAGGTGATCTCAAAACAACTGGGCAGACATGAAACTCAAGGACCAGCAACATTCAAGGCTAGAGAACTTGCATCCAAGCAAATATTTTTATATCGAGAAAAAATACTTACAAAACTCTATAAAGACATTATTGGCAGGGTTGAAGGCAACCTCTTCAAAGTTTTTGCCAACCAAGACCTTGACAGGGTTCTTATCCCAGTCTTCAGGAATGTCCTGACTCATCAGATGAGGCTACAGAAAAAACGACACTAAAATCATTCCAGAGGGACATAACACATTTTCTTAACATCATTAAACGCCAACATTAAGTCAATATTAGTGCCCAAAATTCCCATCCAATTATCAAAATCTGCAGGTTTGATATCACAATTTTCATATCAGTTCATAATATTGTATATTTTAAAATTCAATACAGAAGCCTATTTATTAAAAGTTACTACTTAATGTAGCCATTAAAACCTTAAACCCAAGCAATGGTATCCACCACCTTTAGTTTCCCCTCTGTGAAGGCTGTACAGAAGGTGATAATGTTCTCTGCTGTGATTTCTGAGGTTTCTGGTCTGTATTTGGTCATCTCTTCCTCAAGGGTGATGAGGCGGATGGCTGGGCACTCTTCCTTCTTAAGACCAAAGAACTCAAGAATTCGCTGGTTATCATCCACATCACTGTCAATAAAGATGAAGAGAATCTGCAGGGAAAGCAAATCAGGTTAAATCCAAATGTAAAAAACAAACAAACAAAAAAGAAAAAACTTAAAAAAAAGGGGCACCCACTTTGCCTTTGAAGCCCTCTGCTGCTTTCTTAAATTGGTCCATCTTGTCCTGGAAGTCTTTGGCTGTTTTAGGTACAAACATTAGGATGTGGGATTTGATTTCACCTCCAAAGATTTTTGGGGCAGTCTGCAATGGAAGAATAAGAATCTCAGAATTAGTTTCCCCCACCCACAACCTCCAATCTTTAAACACATTGGGCCTCATTTATCAATCTAACATTGAAACAAAAGCACATCCGAGCGCAGAAATAATCCTACGACAGGGTTCACATGTGATTTATGAAACATTCGTATGCTGCAAATCCCATCGTACGAATAATCATACGTTGATAAATGTGGCCGCTGAAAACAAGTGTCATTTGAATATCACACCCCTAAAAATTCACGATTTAGAAGGCTCGCCCCAAGAGTTTATGACATGGAGAAACGTTACCCGGCCAAGAAGAGGAAGTATCTCATGAAAGAGAAATTGACCTTACTCCAAAAAACACCCATTAACCTCGTAATTGCAAACAATTATATGCATATTAAATACCATTAAATAAAACATTTACAAACATTATAAACCCTAAACTAGGCTATTTTTCCCTTCACTCCACAACAAATCCTTAATTTAACAGTATTCAGAACAGAACAAGAATGAAAAATAAGCTATAAATTATATATTAAACTAAAATAAAACAAATTAGGCTATAGTGGCATTCATTATAAACAATTTAGGCTAATGGGCTCACCTCTCATTCAGCAAGAACCCAAATATGTTTCCAAATTTGCCATATAACTTTTGGTTGCTAAACTATTATTCATTATGTAAATAAGGCTTTTCATGTGTGCAAAAATATGAATGGCTGGGTGCAGGCATTTTACAGCGGACCATTTAAATTGAGCAGTGTAACTTATGTTTGGTTGACTGCAACACTAGAACTGATATTTTGTGTGTGCGGAACTGTGCACGCTTGAGGCGCCTGCATGATCAGTTGGCTTTAATAAAATAAAGATAAAGAAAACAAATACAATGCATTAGTAAGTCACAAAAACGAGCCTGCTTATACTAGTCGCAGTTTTTTTTTTTCCTTTGTTAATCTGTTAAGTGAAATATATTTCGTGTAGTCCTATTTATTTTATCCCTTTTATCCCTTCAATTTATTATGTTTTTATTCTGCAGGTACGTAATGTGACCATGTGTGAATCCTCATGTTCTGTTTACGCTGCTATTTGTGCATGTAAAACTAAACCCCTGAGGGGAAATAACATTTGCGGGATTTTTAATGGGTCACACACAGACACCTATCTATAATTTTAATTTGACAATCTAGTCGTTTAACGGTTAATGACCGTTATGATGAGCTTCAGGAAAATAATATAAAATGAAAACGCTCATTACAATTCTCCACCAGATTTATTATGCTTAATGCTGCACACAAATTCACACCAATTCAAAAACTTGCATACACGAGCTGAGATCTGCGTGATTTGAACGTAGCCACCACTCATGTCCATATTGATAAATGTCAAGCTTTCCGTGGAAATGGCCGTACGCCCAGTTTTCTGTTGTACGTTTGTTTCATAAATGAGGCCCATTCAATTTCAGTGAAAATACAAATGGCAACCTGGGTCAAACTCTAAATGTCAATATGGAGCAACAGACAGAAATGTGGATTAAAAGTCAAAAGTGTACCTGCTCCGTGAACTCAATGACCAGGGGAAGCTGGTTGGCCTTGATGAAGGGCAGCAGATTTTCTTTGCTGATCTCTCCATCAAAAGTATTCCGACCCTCATCAAACTTGGGGGGGGGGGGGGGGGGGGAGGGAGGAGAAAGAGAGAGATTGTTAAATCAAGTCTTATTTACACTGCATTTCTCTGTGTACACAGCAACACAAACCTGGTGAGCATTACTCACTGTAACTGAGTGTTGAGAAGGGAACTATGAATCAATCAGCATGGAAACGTGACTAACAGTTGTTGGTCACAGGGGAGCGGATATTCTAGTAGACACATGCAGTGGGCATTAATAGCATGCATAAAGCGAGCAGCTGCATTTGGGAACGAGGCAGTAAGGACAATAAATTTCAGAGTGTATTTGGGTGCTAAGAGACCAGAATCTCAAAGCCGCTTTAGGGACAGGGGTCAAGGAGAAGTATAGCCCATTTCTGATTTTAGATTAAGAGCACATCCATCCATCCTACTGAGAATGAATCATTGTAAGCTAGTTTCTGTAAAGTAGAGTGATTTAGCCTAGTCTTTGTGAATTCAGTTTATTTGGATTCAGGATTCTCACATTTTAAACCAATGGATTTCCATGATCGGATAAGGACTTTTAAAATCTTTCAAATTCACTAATGGATCATGCAGACCAATTTTAAAACTGCTTTAAACAAATTAATTGAAGACTCAATTTGCTAACCACTCAGAGATCATTAAGGCTTGCCTTGACTAAACTGTTTAGAGCAGCAGGGGTGCAAAATTCAGTTCCTGGAGGGCCACAGCCTTGCAGAGTTTAGCTTCAGCCTTCAACCCTAATTAAATGCAGATGATCCAGCTAATATAGTCCTTCAGGTATGCATGTTGGAGCAGGGTTGCAACTAAACCATGCAAGACTGTGGCCCTCTGAGGTAAAGTGTTCAGACTGCTCTAAACCAGAACTCTATACCTAGAGCGTCCGTTAACTGAATGAATTGAGAATATCACCTGAAAATCGAATAACATCAGCAATTTTCATTCAAGCAGCTGATTTCTGTAAATGAATGTAAAACTAAATGTATATTGCAGCACAGGGTGAAGTCAGTATACCCATTAACGACGATTTGAGACAAATAAATGTAAATTTAATATAAAACTATGTAAATGGCGCGGCAGGATTTTGAACAAGGTCCTGAGCCGTTGCTGGGCGCCGCCGGTGTGTGTACACTCAGAGAATAATGTGCTCGAATTTTAAAGCTGTGGCGCTGCACGACGCAGCGCTGCACTTCTCGTCCGGTGTCGACCCGTTCAACAACATGCATCAAGTAGTATTGGTTGTGATCTGATCGGAGAGAAATGTGCTTGAATTGCCACAAGATCTCATCTCTGTGTGGAGCTGATCTACCTCAGAAGCAGGGTGTCCCATTCAGAGTTAATGCACAATCATTTTCTGAATGAAAAAAACACTGAATACTTCAAACTAAATCATGTACGTAACTGCACATTTCCCATTTGATCATCTTGGACCTCCACACCAAACAGCATCAAGAAAAATCTTATGTCCATTTGATTCTGTTTTTCAGGTGACATCAACAGGTCACCTATGCCACGATTCAAATACAAAATCAGACAAACTACTGTGGTTTTGTCCATCCATCATGTTACGCTAGAGTTTTTGTTTGACGCAAGAAGAAATAACAGGTGGCAAAATGGGTACATTTGTAAGTGAATTCACTCATGTGGTGCTCAACTGTTGTAAGCAATGGGTGAAGTGTCTAAACGCCTAGATTTCTACCAAACTCAGTTTTTCTTTTCTAGGAAGCTGTGCAATAAAATGTATTAATGGGCTGACATAATGACTCACTGACCCTGATAAACGAGAGCATCATTACATAATGAATTTAAAGGTCAAGGGGAGATCTGCTGTCAGCTTGAACCAGAAAACCAAATTTATTGTGCGACTGAGCAAAGACCAATAATAGTAATGATAGCATTGCCAGATATGACTAGATGCAGCAGGATCAACTTTCCATGGCTGCACGGAGTACTTGAAAAATTATAGACCTTTATTTCATAATCAAAATAGCTTCACTTAAGAGCTTGATGTTTAGCTGATAATATTCATCACCCCCTTGTGAGTTTTTTCTAAAGGTTTGAAAGCATGTGATTGTTCTGATCCCTTGTATTAATTTATTTATTGTACTATTTAAAACACTACTACCCAGGGCCACAATAAACAGTTCTTGGGTCAGTTAAGGAACCTTCATCACGGGCCCCTCAGTGGAAATCATGATAATTTTTCCGGGACTCCTTTCATGATCCAGGCCTAAACTTCCAGTTATGGGAGGCACTGCTACTACCCATTCAAGAGTCTGCAAAGTTACAAAGCACAGTACACTCCAAAGAGAGTTATTCTCTATATCAGCAAGCAGTTTCTGAACTTCTTGAAAGGCCTCAAATGTAGTTGTGTCCTTTCCCAGAAAAAAACTCATCACAATATTACTCATTTAAATAACTCCCACGGAAGGCCTCCACAAAAAAAGGGGACAAGGCCTGGATGAGTAGCGTTATGGTAAGGTGAGTGACACTTTCGGTTCACCATTACAACACTGATATAGTGGACCAATCAGAGCACATTGAGATTTTCAGAAGGAGGGGCTTCATAGAGACCAATGGCCTGTTGCACAAAGCTAGCTTAACAAACTGAGTTTTAGAGAAGGTTTAGAGTTGACAAATCTAGATAAATCCAACCTGGTTTACATCAGGTTCAGCGGTCTCACAAAGCTTGGTATTTAGATGCCACCTACGTCACTCCAAATAGAACGCCGCCATATTTACGACCGATCTCGCCCGGTATGGCCGCCCAAACTGCCCATTTGAATGAGAGAGGAGACAGAGATACCTGGAGAAGACTTAAATTTTAGGCTCCGATCCTTATTTGTTACCCCCAGTTTTCCTTTATCCATTATTATCTGTCCCAGACTTGCCCCAATTGGCCTTCCATGATTATATATATATATATATATATCTTGTGCATAACCCCTCCCCATACAGTGGGGATCTCTTGAAGGCTTTTAAGAGTACCGATGCATATGCTGTGGCTGGATGGGTAAAAGACGTAGAAGTGCGGCACCTGGCCACCAAGGATTTATATTTAAATCATGGGAAATGTAATGGGTATTAAAAAAAAAATTCAAATGTATGAATTTGGTGGTTGTTTGCTCTGACTAGGTAGCGTTGTTAGCTTGTCACGGCTAGCTGTCATTAATCTGGATTAGGCCTGTCGCGATAGTCAATAAATCATTTAATCACATGATTAAAAAAAAGTGAGCTCGATCATTTTTCCGGCCGCGATAATTTCCATATGCATGCTTGTTTGTTTCCCTCGTCTCTCTATCTCTACCAAAGAGACTGGATGACAACTCTGTTAAAGACATAACCGAATTATTTTACGTGAATACTCCAAAACGGACATTTAAACAATGTTGTGTATTTGTCCATTCAGACACGAAACAGAGCTCAATTCATTACTCGCGCGCTGTAAAGGGGTCTATGGCTGCACGCGTCGGGTGTGTGTGCACAGAAAGATGAGACACGATACAATATGATCTCTTCGAATGAACTGCCTGGATAAATCACACAACGTGTAGCCTGGGTTTGCCCATATTGCCTTTGCGCAGCGCGATTATTCACGCTGCTAGGCAAGTCTGGATACCATGGACCAAATTTTCGCCTCAGCGAGGGGACCAATCACAGAACGGGGAGGGAGCAGCAAGACGATGACGACGTCTATGCGACACACCAAAGCAGTTTGTTTATACCTATGGATCAAACATGGCAGCAGACGAGAAGTTACCTTTCGATGCAGCCTTGGATATTGTTCCAAGTAGTTTAGAACACAAATAAATCTGACCCATCGTCTTCTTCCTCGTCTAATTTCTTTCGCTCTACATACGTCATCTGGTATAATTGAAACAATTGGCTATGAGCTACGTACATGCACATTTGATAGACATTCGTAGCACCCAATAAACGGCTCTGGGCATTTGTAAACCACGCCTCAAATACGAGAAAATGAACATGTGGTTCCCAGACCACGTCTCAAAGTCAATGAGACGTGGTCTGACGTTAGCCAGGCTACACAATGGCCCTCATTTATCATTCTTGCGTAGAAACGGCCGTATATGTTGGCGTAAGATTATGCTTACACTCCTCTCACCGCCTGATTTATGAACCTGTGCGTACCTTTGAAATCCAGGTTTACGCAATGCCTGCCCTTGATAAATCCCGCGGCTGAAAACGATCGTCATTAGAATAACACGCCCCTATATATTCAAGTATCCGCTTCCCCCACGCCCTCATTTTACGCCATGGACACACGGAAGACGTCAAAGAAGAGAAACTTCTCTGACGTGGAGCCGAAATGACCTATCACAATGCAATATTTTACAGCACGTCTTTTGAATTAGCATTCAATTTCGAATCACGTTACATGTATTGGGGTGTACAATAGTGATGAGATGTGGAGTACCATTCATTCACAATAATTGCATGACAATTTGTAATATTCTTCTTATTATTAGTATGATTTGTATTATTAATGACGCTTATTGTTATTTAGAAGAAGAATGTCATTATTATTATTTGTATTATTATTTAAAAGAATGCATTTTTTATTATTTTGTCAGTCTGAATTATTTTTTGGTCATTGAAAGCCTTTCGTTACCGAACCCAGTCCGTGCGCACCTGCCGGGCCTAACCCTGAAACGTCAGGGTAAAGCGCACAGGCTCGCAACAGAAGGAATACATATGCTTACAAATCAAATGCTTTGGTAAAGTCACACAAATTAAACATTGAAGTCCATTTTGCACAAAAATAAACACTGAAGTTTATAATTACTATGTTGTTGTTTTTTTTGTTTTACAGTGGGTCATAATATATCATATCTTTTAGTTTGTCAGTGCATTTTGGTGTTAGGAATTGTTTTTCTGCGCATTTCCGCACTAAACTAACGTGCGTACACCACCTCCTGAGCTGGCCTAGGATTTGAGCGTGCCGTACGCCAACGTCCATGTTGATAAATCTCAAAGTCACCGTGGTTT